GCAGAGATGACACAAGCCACAGAAATCAAGTCCCCCCAGACAACAGCGCTCCTGAGATTTGGGGCGGTTCTCACAAAGCCAGTGTCGCCGGGTATGGCTGCTCTTCTCAGGAGGACCCCAAGGCTGCTAGTGCCCCGTCTGGTCGGCCTAGTCTCCTCCATCCAGCTTCTGCGACCCTGCAGGGGACAGGGTTTTTCTTTCCTCTTTTCCTCTTTCCTCCCCACACTGCCTTCCTTTTGCTGGCTTGGCTTCTTGAGCAGGGTCAGTCCGGGTGGCATTGGCTCTGGGCAGCTGGGGGTAGGCAGGGCCTGTAGGTCAGAGAGTGGTTGTGGGGAGGTGGTGGGGCATCCTGGAGGGGGCATTCATGCCCTGGCTGGCCTGATTTCCTGACGCTCCCGGGCTTGGCCTGCTAGGGCACATGGGACTAGAATCCTTGGGGTGGGCCACCATGTAGGCGCTGGGCAAGCCCCAGCTCTCACCCCCATTTGCCATGGTAGCAGGAGCAAGGAGGCAGTGTCTGTTGCCTTCCCCTCCTCCCCCTCTCTCCCCTCCCCTCCTCATCCCTGCCTGGCTGAGCTAGCACTTTTTTCTTCTCTCCTTTATCTGCTTGAAAAGTACAGGGCGTTCTGTTTCTCCTGTGCATACAGATCAAGAAGTGAATGTTATTTATTTCTTTCTTTCCCGAAGGCAGAGAAGGACAGGCAGACACACTGAGGACCATTTAAGTGATCCTTCTTCCTCAGTAAGGCAGTTTCTCATAAATTAAAAAACAAACCCCCCCCCAAAAAAAAACCCCAAAAAACAAAAAACAACAACTCCACAGAGGAAAGGAAAAGATGACACAAGCCACAGAAATCAAGTCCCCCCAAACAACACCACTCCTGAGATTCGGGGCGTTTTGCATAAAGTCAGTGTCCCTGGGTATGGCTGCTCTTCTTCTCAGGAGGACCCCAAGGTGTGTTGGTGTCACAGGCTACAATGGAGGGCACAAGGCCAACTCCTTTCTCTGCCCTCTGGGCTGTGTGTGGGGCTCCTCTGGCTTCTTGGGGGCCCTAGGAGTTGACAGATTTTATCTGGGCTGAGTCTTGGAGGAGTAGGACTGTGGGCCAGGTGTGAGGATCTGCTTGCTTACCTGTGACCTGTGTCACTTCTGCGTGGCACCCTACGGGTGCTGTCTGTTCAACTTCCAGGTGTCAGAGGAGCAGCTGGGGCAGGCTGCCCACCACGTCCCCCCAGAGCCCATTCCGGAGCCTGGCTCTGGAACTGCTCTGAATGCAGCGAGGGGACTTGGCAAAGCATCCACAGGCATGAAGTCCTGGAGATGCTGAGAGCCCTGGACACCCGCACAGGCCTTGCTTGATGGGCACAGTAGCAGTGAGGACCAGCTGGCTAAGCTGCTAAGCCAGGCAGGGGTCAGGCTGCTACTTTGGGGAAGGCCCTGCTGGTCCAGGCTTATCTACCCCCTGGTTTTTACAGGTGGTGCCCCCTCCCCTGGTTTAATCCCTATTGCCCAACCCTGGACCCCACAGCAGCTTTTCAAGAAGGGGTTCTACTTGCGCAGTTTGAGAACCATTGCAACCGTCCCACTCTTCATTGTATAAAAGAGGTTGTTTGGAGGGTGGTCTAGTGCAGGGGCGCTGACAGGGGCCCCTCAGTCTCTGGAAGCTAGGGCGTGGGGGTGAGGCTGTCCCGGGGTGCCTGGCAGCGGTGGCGTCATCGCATCTGGCGTGGGGCCACCCAGGAGCACGAGGTGTGTTTACCAACCTGACGCAGCGTCCTCTCCGCCCGCCCGGCTGGCAGGCTGGCAGACATCCGGCATGAACGCTGACCCTTCCTCCCTACCCCGCCTGCCAGAGCTGGCAGCCACATCCTCACCTCTAAATTTAGTCCTCAGGAAGGAGAACTTGGGGGAGGGAAAAGGGCAGGGCAGGGAGGAAAGCGCTCAAGCCAGCCGGGACCCCCATCCTCTCTGGAGGAAGGCAGGACCTCAGAATCTCTGGGGGAATAGAAGAGCGAGGAATACAGGGCCCGAGCTGCCCGACTCCCCGCGTGGCCTCATTCCCTGGGAAAGCAGGGACACGGCCACTGCAAGGAGGGGGACGGGAGCCCCAGCCTCTGAACCTGGAGACTTTGCTTGTGCCGGCCTCCAGGGCCTCTGGCGCCACCTTCTGGTCCTCTGGGGAACCGGTTCTGCACGGAGTCAGCCTCTTGGGTCTCAGTGGAGCTTGGAGGATGGATGTTTAGGGGCTGGAGAGGATAGAGGTGTGGGATGGGGGTGTATTGCAGGGGGTGCAGCATTCCAGTCCAGGCCCAGTTGTCACGTGGCAGATGGAATGGTGGGGGGGAGATGCAAGGAACAGTTTTTTTTTTTTTTTAGACTCAGCATATTCCAAAAAAGACACCTTTGCTGTACTTGGATGGTCAGCTCTGGAGCTGTCAGAGAAGTTAGTGTGCTGTAGCCTTTCAGTGACTGGCTGGCTGAAAGGCAGGAGCGAACGTCTGCCTTCTGTTATGGAGGTGTGCATACGGAAAGACCCAGTGAGCTGTGTGCGTCTTAAATGCACACCTCCCCCTGGGTTGTGTATGCACTGTGTGACCCCTGCTCAGGTCTAGATAGATATATTCCCTCCATCCCAGAAGTTCCTTCCTGACCCCTTTCCTCTTTCCTCCTCACACTCCATTACCTCCCTCCTGGCCTCCATAGTCACAGATTCTATGTACTGTTCCTGAACTTCATGGAAACAGAGACAGACTGTTCTTTTGTCTCTGGCTTTTTTTCTGCTCAGCGTAAGGTCTTGGAGATTCGTCCATGCTGATGTGCATATGGAGAGGCTAGTGCTGTTTATTGCTGAAGACTGTTCTGTTGTGTGGACTTTGGGTTGTTTTCTTTTTTGGCTATTATGAATAGAACTGCTATGTGCATTCTTTAACATGTCTGTTTAGTAGAATATGCCCCATTCCTTTGGGTTGTATTCTTAGGGGTGGGATTGCTATATCACAGGAAGCGTTATGCTCAGTTTTATTAGATAAGGATGATGGTTTTTATAAACAATTTATTTTGGGACAGCAGGTAGTATGGAAGTTAAGGTGCTGAATCCCACATGGCTGACCCTGTGGTCAGCTTGGAAAAAAACCATGCTGAGCGTGTGTGCGTGAGTGAGTCCGAGATCCCAAGAAGAGACTGGAGAAGAAGGGATTGTGGTGTGGTCACAATCACCATGGGGGTGATTTCATACCTTATCTCTCTGGTGAACACACATGCCCTGTAGCAAAAACTAAAACAAACAAACAAACCTAAAGTAAAATCACTTCTCCCATCTCTCCATGCATGCATGAGAGAGAGCACGTGCTCCCAGCAGGGGCTTGGTACCGGGACCCAGCCCCAGCCAGCCCAGGGTTGTACATGTTTGGCGTCCTCAGTGAGGCCTCTGGGTGTGATCCCAGAATCATTTCACATGGGTGAGTCTCACAGAGTGTCACATTTTACTGTGCCACTGTCCAGCCCCTGGTGCCAGTTTTCTATGTGACCCCCATGTGCTGGAGCCACCCTCCACCAACACTTATTCCCGGTTAGGTCCTGGATACACTTAGCTTCTGCCACGTCTGCCCTGAAACCTCAGCAAAGACAACTGGAATTTGAGTCACGTGGGTCAGGGAAGGAACGAGGACAGGAATTAAGCTGAGGGACTCAGCTTAGGATGGCCCCCAAACCCTCCTAGTCATTCTGAGAAGAGAAGGGCAGCCTCTCCCAGCTCTGGGGCTAGATTCAGGGACCCCCTTGGCCTCCCAGCCATCAGCTCCCCTCGTCTGGCGTCTCTGAGCAAGCTGGCTGAGTGTAACTGTCAATTTGATGTCTGGCGTCTGGTGCCACGGGTCTTCATAGTCCACCATTCCTTGCTGCTTTGTGGCGACTAGAGGAATAGGTGGTTGGGGAAAACAATCTACCCAGAATAGCAGAGACTTGTTGGACTCTGGCCTCGTGGCATTTTCTGGAGGAGGGCATTGTCCTGCCCACCAAATTGCCATCTTCTTGAGACTGTGAAAGCCCAACAAAAAGCCAGAGACAAAGAGAAGGGGCAAGGGAGACAGAGTGAATGCCAGGGAGAGCCAGGCAAGGGAGGGAGGGCAGAGGGTGCAGTGTGGTGTGTGTGAGTATCTATCCTGGGGTCCATGTGAGTATCCTAGGGCCTGCACAGGCATCCTGGGGTATGTGTGAGTATCCTAGAGCCTGTGTAAGCATCCTGGGGTTGTGTATCTGGGGCCTGTGCAAGCATCCCGGGGTATGCGTGAGTATCTGGGGCCTATGCAGGCATCCCAGGGTTGTGTGAATATTTGGGGCCTATGCAGGCATCCCAGGGTATGTGTGAGTATCGGGCCTGTGCAAGCATCCTGGAGTATGTGTTGAGTATCCCAGTACCTGTGCAAGCGTCCTGGGGTTGTGTGAGTATCTGGGGCCCGTGCAAGCATTCTAGAGTATGTGTTGAGTATCCCAGTACCTGTGCAAGCATCCTGGGGTATGTCCAAATGTCCTGGAGGCTATGCTAGTACATGGGTCCATGTAAATGTCTTGGGGTCTGCTCAGGTACCCTAGGGTGTGTATGTGTGAATACCCTGGGGTCCATGTGAGCATCCTGGGGTTGCAGGAGCTGGACCAGCAGCCATGCTGGACTGAGCTGGGGCCTGTGATCAGGCCTAACATGTTTAGGGGTGGAATTGGTGCATTTCAGGGTCTTAATGTGGTCCCCATGGTCTCCTGCCTGATGGTGGGGGCCCAAAATGCCTCCTTTGCTGCTTTTTCCCTTCCCTCCTTCTTTCCCTTCCAATTTCCCTGTCTCTCCCTCCATGCATCCTTTGGAGGTGGCTTTTCTTGTCCTGGTGCTCAGGGAGGAAGGGGGAGGACTCGAGGTCCCTCTTTGAGGGCAGTGTAATGGGAGCCCTGGGTCCCCTGGGGCCGGGGGAAGTGGAGGCAGACCAAGTGAGCTGTGCCGTCCTGCCCCCAGGTTCCTAGGAGGCGAGTGCGGACGGTATGCAAAGTTGTGAATCCAGTGGCGACAGTGCGGATGACCCTCTCAGTCGTGGCCTTCGGAGAAGGGGACAGCCTCGCGTGGTGGTGATTGGCGCTGGCCTGGCTGGCTTGGCTGCAGCCAAAGCGCTTCTGGAGCAGGGCTTCACGGATGTCACTGTGCTCGAGGCGTCCAGCCGCATCGGAGGTCGCGTACAGAGCGTGAAACTTGGTAAGTGCTACCCTAGCCGAGTCCAGCCACCTCCCAAAGTCACCTTTTGTCCCCTATACCCCCACCCCCCCGACCCTGTCTGAAATCTCATTTTTAGCTTTTTTCTGGGATACATGTCCCATCATGTATCCTGCCTGGCATTTTCCAGAAGCTCCTTTAGGCCCTTACAGTTGCCCCTGGGGCTGGGCATGGCGGGGGTCAGACCGCCACTTTTCGAGAACACTGTATTAGTGGAAGACCCGGGGTTCATGGGGTTCAGGGGGACCAAACACACACACACACACACACACACACAGGAGAGTAGACAATGTGAGAAAAAAAAAAAAAAAAAAAAAAAAAAAAAAGCTCTCTGGTCAGATCTGGGCAGACCAGTTTCTATTTAACACGAAAGGAAATTCTGAGTTTTCTCTAGTCATTAACCTTTGAGTGTGAATTAGTATACCATGCAGAGAGCTTACCCTGGGCAACGGGAGCTTAGGTTAGCAAAGGTGGAAGGGGGTTTTAGCCCCTTTGTGGGTGATGTGTTGCACTTTACATTGTTCGGAAGAGGCCCTGTGCAGATTGCAGAGTAACTAGGACCTTGGAGGAAGCAGCCAGGTAAGAGATTTCCCCCAGGGGTAGGCATATTTTGCCAGTGGTTTTAGAGAGTGGGAGAATTGCCTGAATACAGTCAGAGGTCAGAGCCCCGCAAATAGTGAGGGTTCCATCCATAAGGGAGTGGGTGAGTAGGACCATTGAAAGTGACCCAGTGAGGGGCCAGACAGTGGCACAGTGGTAAAGTGTGATGCTCGGGAAGACTGACCCACCTGAGGATGGCTCCCAGCTCATGCCAGAGACCTCCCTGGGTGTGCCGGGCACGTATCTGCCCACGCGTGATCTGGGCTGGCTGAAGCTGGGGGTGGGTTGCAATGTGAGGACCCTATTGGGGGTTCTCTCTCTCTCACTCTTTCTGTCTCTCTCTGTCTCTGTCTCACTTGCTCATAGGAGACATAAATAAACCTTATTTAAAAATGTTAAAAAGAGGGGAACCAGCAGTTAGCGTAATGGCTATGTCGCTGGACTCCCACGTAGTCGACCGCGGTTTGTGTCCCGGACCCGGTGGCTTAAAACTCACGCCGGGCGCGTGTGCGTGCATGCCCAAGATCCCGAGAGGAGAATGGAGGAGAAGGGATTGTGGCGTGACCACCCCCCTGGGGGGTGATTTCTCGCTTTCTTTTTTTTTTTTTTTCTTTTTTTTTTTTTATTATTATCATAATCTTCTTTATATTACATTGGATTACATATAACTTTACATTGACTTCCATTGCTTTTTCAAAAGGGAATGCCATGCATGTCAGTCAATACAGAGGCATCGATCTCCCCGCTTTATCATTCAAAGTCTTTTCCATGCATTTCCCAATAATTATTATGTCTCTCTCTGTCTAGCGAGCGCACGCGCCCTACAGTGAAAATCTCTCAAAAAAATAAAAGGAGAAAAAAAAATGTTAAAAAGAAAAAGAGAATGTCCAGTGAAACTACACACGGTGGTCTGGAGTGTGTGGGCCGCATTGACCTCCTGGAGCGTTGTGCGCCTGTGTCTGTTCCCACTTGCTCAGAGAAGTAGGTGGTCATGCTTAAAACCAACAGAGGTTGAGGCTACATGGGGACCCCCTCTCCCCCTGCAGAAGTCTGAACCCATTCAGAGTCTTT